AAATTAATAAATTTATAGGGCACAATTTATTATTTATTGGTACACATCAACCAATTTATTGGTCACAATCAACAAATCATTTGTGACCACCACCAACACACCACCATTGTCGTCTCCGCCGCCAACACCAACACCACCACTTCCCAGCAACAAAATCACAGTTTCAAAAATCGCAGCCAACATTTTCACCACCACCACTACACCAACCGTCAACACCACCATTACCACCGTCCCACCACCACCTTCACTGCTCCGCCGCCTGATCCATCACCGATCTAACATAATCGTCGCTACCCAAGCACCACCACAACCACAGCCTCCATCCACAACTGAACAAACAACCCAAACCGTCAACACCACGACCAAACATAATCGTCACTACCCAAACACCACCACCACCACCACAGCCCCCATCCACAACTGAAAACACAGCCCAAACCGTCAACACAACGACCATCACCGCACGCACATCGCCGCAACCACACCCACATCAACACCGCACAACTCTACTGCACCACTCAAAAAAAAAATGTCAATCACCAATCTGCAGCACCAGCCACTTGCCCATCTTCTCTGGCTGATCTGCAACACCAACAACTTTTCCATCGCCCCCATAGATAAAATGTCCATCGCTGCAGCCGCGACATTGTCATGGTGGTTCGACGATTTAAAGAAGAAGAGAGGCGGTGGTGTGCCGGCTAGGTGGTGCCCGTGGTGATGGTGTCGGCAGGGATAGAGAGATAGAGTGGGGAGAAAATGGGTGATCGGGAGGGAGGGAGTGGGGAAGAGGAAATGAATTAATTAGGGTTGAAATTTTGTATGATTAATTTAAATAAAAATTAATTTAAAAATTTTTAGTTAAAACCTGATTTATGTATTATTAAAGATGATTTTGGATTTATGAAAATGGTAATTTAAAAACCTTTGTGGTGTAATTTCCTCTTTATAAATTTATTGGCCAAACGGAGGCTTAATACATTCACCTGTTCAAGATTTGGAATGGGTTGGGCCAAAGAGGGACGTGGTTGGTTGTCTTGTATTGTACGTAAGGTCCAATGTTATGGACTAAACTTGGAGGAAATTAGGCTGTATACCCTAAAAAATAAAGTATTTTGATTAATACCTTTTAAAATAATTAAACATTTTAATCAAGTAATAATTACGATCTAATCTCTCCGCCAACTACTGAAACAGCTCCACCGGTGGCTGGTTCTAATCTAGCCATGGCCGAACCGCAGAAAGTCGATTACAT